AAACCTAAAACAGCCCAGATTTAGGTCAGGAGTGCTGAGTTTTCCCTTGGCCATTCCTAGATTATTGGACAAGTCATTTCATGTGCTCTGGACACAGCTTCCTCAACTATAAAATAAGACAGCAGGGGGCGCCTGGATGGCTGCATCAGTTAAGCGTCCAACTCTTGGTTTCGGTTTAGGTCACAATCTCAGGGTTCATAGGATCGAGCCCCATTTCGGACTCCACACGGACAGTGTGAAGCCTGCTTGGGATTCTCTCTTCCTTTTTCTCTGCCCTCCCCTCACCCACTCTCTCAATAAATAAAGAAACGTAAAATAAGATAAGATAAAAAAAAAAAAAGACAGTAAGAATTCCTCATGCCAAGGCTTGTTGTAACTACCACGAAGAGAAACATGTTGATGAACTCTGTGCCAGGCCAGGCAAATGCCCTGTGGCAGGTGGGAAACCGCCTTTCAAGGGACTGGAGCTCTCATTCCACATTTTCATGGATAATTCAGGAAAGAGAGAAACAAATATTCTGATTTGCAGAAAATAGTAAAATCCAAGGGCTCCTGGGTGGCTCAGTCAGTTAAGCATCCGACTTCAGCTCAGGTCATGATCTCATGGTTTGTGAGTCCGAGCCCTGAGTCAGGCCCTGTGCTGACAGCTCAGAACCTGGAGCCTGCTTCAGATTCTGTGTCTCCCTCTCTCTCTCTGCTCCTCCTCCACTCATGCTGTGTGTGTGTGTGTGTGTGTGTGTGTGTGTGTGTGTGTGTGTCTCAGAATAAATAAACATTGAAAATTTAAAAAAAAAATTAAAGTGGTAGACTTTGGTAAAGCAGATTGTCCTCCCCAATGTGGGTGAGCTTTATCCAATCAGTTGAAGGCCTTAACAGCACAGAGGCTGCAGACCTTGAGGAAGAAGAAATTCTGCCTCCAGACTTGAACTGGAGTCAGCTCTTCCTGACTCCCCTGGTTGACTTACCCCATCAGATTTTGGACTTGCCAAGTCCCCACCCCCCCTCAAACCTATTTCTCTGGAGAACCCTGACGAACACAGCGCACTTACACATAATCTGTATGAGAGTAGAGCCTTTGTGTGTTCACTGTTCTGTTCCAGGCACCTGTCTGGTACATAGTAGGTACCCAACAAAGTATTGGCTCAGTTAATGGATTAGTGGATTAGCAAGTCTTCCCAGCAGAACACACAGCCGAGGTCCTCTGACTTTCTCATCTCTAGGATGATGGAAATGTAAAACGACTTTTACTTTTCATTGTTTCCCATTTGGTTATCATCTAACTTAGTTTCTTCATATTTCAGACCTTTAATTTAACCCGTTTTCTGGCCTTTTTGGCTTTTCTGAAAACAATTTTTTTTTGAGAACTCAGATCATTTAGTTCTTTGTGGGTTTCCTGCCTTGTCACAGTCCAAATGGCCCAGTTCCTGCCTGGACAGTTTGGGTTAAATCTTTGCATACTGCAAATTTGAGTTAATGCAACTATCAGAAAGGAAATACAAGCTGTATGGAGCACGGGGTATGGCCTGAGTCACATTATGTACCAGTCACTGCCTGCCCTTCATATCAGCTTCCTTTTTCTTACTTAATGTAATTCTCTGAGGCTGACTTGAGTCAGAAATACGTTCAGACATGAGATGAGATGGTGCTGATGTCTGTGCTTGCGGCCAGTGATATTTGTGTCTTTCGATGTTCCACCCCATGTTTTTTACATCTCTCAAATTCTGGGTGGATTTTGGACAGTGGATTTTGATTTCCAATGAAACACTTCAAAACTCGGGCATCTGGGCGGCTCAGTCAGTTAAGCGTCTGACTCTTCCTTTCGGCCCAGGTCATGATCTCACAGTTTTGTGAGTTCGAGCCCTATGTTGGTCTCTGTGCTGGCAGCATGGAGCCTGCTTGGAATTCCCTCTCTCCCTCTCTTCCCATGCGCTGTCTCTTTCTCTCCCTGAAAATAAACAAATAAACTTAAAAAAGGAAAAAGAAGAAAGAAAAACTTTGAAATGAAAACGAAATGAGTTAGAGAGTACGTTTGTTTCAGACAGCTCTAGAAAGTTGACTACACGCGCCGTTCTCCAGGAATCGCACTCACATCACAGTCCACGCAGGTACGAGGCGCTGTACTATCCTGAGCACTTCTCGCTGAGCCAGGAATGACTTGTGGACCTGCTCATAATGCTGTGTCAGGAGTGCTGGGTGAAATGAGAATGCCAAAGAGGATGGGCACCCTGGGCATAGGGGACCCACACGCACACAGGATTGGGTACCAACTTTCAGTACTTTTCACTTGTCAACTTAAGCTAGCTCAATCCCCATCAATCTCTTCCAAACTTCAGCCTGTACCATTTTCTTCAGTTTCTGGTGGGAAAGCAGAGTAGAAAGAGGAAAGCAAGTGTTACTTGTGACCTCCGATAGGTCAGAGGCAGCTGATGATAGGAAAGATTTGCTTCTACTCAGTTTGGGTGCTTATATCCAGTCTTCTGTTATCTGTTGCAAACAGCACTTTCTGGTCTCTTCCCGCTGCAGCAAGATTTTTACACTGGGGCGAGACTTTGCAGGTGCTGACGATGTCTGGAATGTTAGATGGCTAGTATGTCTAATCCCTGACTATCAAATAGAACAACGAGACGATTTTGGAATAAGGATCCTAAAAATTTGTAAGGTTTTCATTGGAGAGCCTTTCCCATCTCAGCAATTAACACTCTGGTATGCTTAACGTCACATTACTATTTCCCAGCATGCCCTATTCAGTTACTGTGCATTAGCTTTTGACTCTCCGATCTAAAAGAGGGGCTGATATTAACAGGATGACAGAATGACCAGCAGGTAAAGTAAGAAGTGGGGAGCTGTCACCCGGAAAAGAGAGTTGGATGCTAATAAAGATCTTTGTTCAAAGTTGCACATTTTGATTAAGAAAAAGCTCATAGATTCAAATGTATTTTAAAAAATAAGAGGCATGCCGGGGCGCGTGGGTGGCTCAGTCAGTTAAGTGTCCAACTCATGATTTTGGCTCAGGTCAGATCTCAGGGTTCGTGAGTTCAGTCCGCGTGGCAGGCTCTTTACTGACAATGTGGAACCTGCCTGGCACTCTCTCTCTCCCTGTCTCTCTGCCCCTCCCCCCACTCACTCTCTGTCTCTCACAAAATAAATAAATAAACTAAAAAAAATTAAAAAGTAAGGGTCATACCAATATAAAGTGTAAAACATCCCCAAATTATTAATGCACCACAGATAACCTGCCCGCATTCAAATCTGGTTTTGGAAACTTAATGCTCTTTTCTATCACAATCAATGTGGTTTTGTATTCTTAGAACCTGGCATATAGTAGGTGCTCAAGAAATGTCTGTCGGATTGAAGAGGCTGTAAAGCCAGCATATTTAGGCATTATTCCTCTGAGCTGAGTTCCAGTGGTTCGTCGCATAGATGTGTTCATGTAGAAAGCAATACACATGTAGGCTGTAGCCTATGGTAAGCTGCCATGCCTCTTGGGTATAAGGAAGGAACACCGTGAAAGGTGTTTGGAGACTCAGACAAGTCTACCTTTTGCTGGCGAGAGACCCTGGTCGAGTGAGATATTTTCTTGGTATTTTGGTATCATTTGTTCTCTTGGAAGACTGAATTTTAGAAATGCATTTTTAAACACATCCATCCCAGGAGGAAAAGTGGGCACCCTCTTCTCCTTTACTTCCCCCTCCTTAGAGGTCCCACTGTATCCTGCGGTCTGAAGGGGACACAGGCTTTGGCGACAGGGGGAAGGGCTAGGAAGGAAGCGGTAGGGACTCGTGTGTAGCGGTTTATACATGAAGGACACTTAGTTCTCTTGACTCAGAAGATGCCAGTATTATTACTATACCATAAAGTGGGGAAAAAATAACATGTGTCATGAAAACAGTGAAAAATGACCTTAAAAAAGAGTTTAAATTTTTTGGATGCTTAGCAAGAGAATTTACATATTCCACCTAAAATGAGGGATTATTTATACTTATGGTTAGAAGCACCAAAAATACATCTATACAGAGAAAAGAATCAATCAGATACTGTCCCCAATGCCTCCATATATGTTGGGGGGTGTATTTTTCTAAGGAATTCTGGTCTGTAACTAAGATAAATTTGACACTAGTATCACTTAGACCGATGAACTTTTATCTCCAGAAGAAGGGAACTGAAAACAGATTAAAGATTGGTTCTCCCCTAGAAGAAGTCCATTTTTTTCCTGAACGAAGGTGAAGAAAATCCCATCGGATTCACTGTATAGTTGGACGGCCAGACAGGATTCCATCAAAACTGTTTGTTCTGTGGTTATGTATCAAGAGAAGAAATAGAACATGTCATAAACTAAGTACCAGATTTGGGAGAAACTATCCCTTCTCATCCTCCTAATAACCCTCCAAAACACACAGTGTTGTCGTCACTTATGAGTCAGGAAGTTGAAGGTCAGGGTGGCTTTATAACTTGGCTGAAGTCACACTTTTGGTGGCAGAGCTGGGAGTCACACCGCAGTCAATCATTTTGAAATTTAACGTTTTTTCCTACTCCACTGCGTTGTCCTCAGTAGAGCTTTATGACACTAACGGTAATGGTAGTTAAGAAAATCGTAATAATACCATTTATTGGGCACCTATTATGTACCAGAAATTGTGCGAAGAGCATGTTATCCCATTTAATTATCACAACAAACTCATGAAGAGGACAGTATTTCCACTTTAGATAAAGCAATGGAGACTCGGAGAATTTGAGGGACGTTAGTTACCCACAGTGACGGGGCCAGTAACTGGGGGCCAGGATTCACTTGAGTCCAGAGCCTTGGCTCGAGTCATCCATGATGCTGTTTCTAGAGTAGCCTGGATTGTCACACAATCGATGTGCTTCTTTTCCGGAGGTGAGTCAGCAGAAGGAGGCAGCCCCACGTGGGTTTTGCCTGCGTGACAGCAGATGTAACCATTTGGGGCAGCGTGACACTGCTTGACAAGTCAAGAAAGCTCTCCTATGCTTTTCCTTTTCAGATACTGACCTCTGTCGCTGGGCCATTGTTTAGAGGTAACAGTGCTCAAGTCACTGATGTCAACTCCAAGGTGTTGAAATGGAGTAAGAACGTTACGGAAGGGGAGTCTGGATGCAAGGAAGGTCTGCATCGCGGGAGCAAATTCTGCTGTCTGCCATGCCCTCCCGGTATGTTACGTGGGACGTCCCGCAGTTAGCCGGAAAATTGGGGTGAGGCGTTGCGTGGAGTAATCAGGGAGAAGGTATTTTTACAGTGCTTGGTTCTCCTGCATCAGAGCATGGCTGGAAAGCACAATTGGGAAATTACTTTCCTGACACTAATTTAGTTCAGCTTTATCCTGCTTGTTTGGTGCGGGTACGAATAAATACGATTTATGAATGGCAGGTATCTCTGAAGGGAGAGCGTTTCTTCAGCTCAATTTTTCGGCAGCAAAAGGAGGCCCGTGCGGATATTAAAGGTAATCGCAGGGGTGCCTGGGTGCCTCAGTCAGTTAAGCATCCCACTCTTGACTTCAGCTCAGGTCATGATCTCACAGTTCATGAGTTCGAGCCCCGCTGACAGCATGAAGCCTACTTGGGATTCTCTCTCTCCCTTTCTGCCCCTCCCCACTTGCTCTCTTTCTCTCAAAATAAATAAAAATAAACTTAAAGGGGCGCCTGGGTGGCTCAGTAGGTTAACCGTCGGACTTCGGCTCAGGTCATGATCTCACGGTTCATGGGTTTGAGCCCTACATTGGGCTCTGTGCTGACAGCTAGTTCAGAGCCTGGAGCCTGCTTCGGATTCTGTATTTCCCTCTCTCTCACCTTCTCCTGCTCACACTGTGTCTCTCTCTCTCAGAAATAAAACATTAAAAAAATACTTAAAAAAATAAACTTAAAAAAACTTATCACAATGGCACCGACTAAAATATATCATAATAGCTGTGGGGCTCCGAAAACAAGCGACCCCCTCCCTTCAGGGATGCGTCTAGCAATTCCCTTCAGTCAGAAGGTCTCTGAAGCCTGCAAAATACATTCAGCTGCAACTCGGTGAGCGAGAAAAGCAATGGACAAAAGCCAACAATTTTTTTAACACCAGTGTTTTGAAATGCAAACTAATTTCAGATCGGAAATCCTTTGCCCACGAGGAAATTAGAAGCTTAGGAAAACTGAATTGTGCAAACCTGGTGTTCAAACTGCAATAGCATTAACTGCTGTTTCCCGCAGGGATGAGCGTCCCCCCACCCTCACCTGCCCGGTGAAGTAAGACAGGAAGCTAAAGGGGAAAAGCACGTGGGTTGCTGCTGTAGATTCACAGAGCCAATACGGACTGTGCGTAGTACGTTTTCCGGAGGGTCTCCAGGCTTCCAGAACTCCAGCAGCTGAACAGGCTTCAGTCCTGTGTCCTGAGACCCTCCCAGTGTCCCTTGGGCTCCTGTCCAGTTTTTAATAACATTCGTGGAAAGTCTCCCTTAGAATCCCACCCATTTATACTTTAGCCTCCTTACGTGTATTTACTCTTCTCCAAATGGGAGTGAAGAATGGCTTCCTAGCTTCTTTATACCTTGTTAAACATCACCTCTGGGGCCCCTGAGTTAAGATCCTTACTCATATTTTTAAAGCTTAAGTTGCAAATTCAAACAAAGATAATAGGCACTGCGTATCAGACTGTCAAGAATTTTTTGTTTGATTTGCTTTGTTTTATTTTCTCTGAAGAAGTGCTTTCAGCCCTGCGGAATTTGCTTGTGAGATAAGAACTCTCATAAACCACGATTGGAATGTAAATTGTTACTGCCTTTTTAAGAAAGAAATTTGGACATTCGGATCAAAAACTTCAAAACCTTCATGCCTACTTGATACAGTAAAAAATTTATGGGGAAAAGGTCTTTTAAAATAGTCAAATGCAGGGGTGCCTCGATGGCTCAGTTGGTTAAGCGTCTGACTTCAGCTCAGGTGATAATCTCACAGCTCGAAAGTTTGAGCCCCTCATTGGGCTCTGTGCTGACAGCTCAGCCTGGAGCCTGCTTCGGATTCTGTGTCTCCCTCTCTCTCTCTGCCCCTCTCCTGCTTCTGCTCTCTCTCCCTCTCTCTCTCTTTCTCTCTCTCTGTCTCTCTCTCTCTCAAAAATAAATAAACATTAAAAATTTTTTAAAAATTGTCAAATGTAAAGGAAAAAATATTGTATGCATGACATTTCATTGTGGTACTCAGTGGTATGGGAGCAGTTACGTAAATTTGGGAGTATTCAAAAGTTGGAATGTCTCAGTCAAATATATCATGTTTTCTCATATATTTGTGACATGAGCCTCACCATATAAATTCCCTGAAGGGATTTCTTTTTTTTTTCTTTTAAAGTTTTCTTTATTTAAGTAATCTCTACACCAAATGTGGGGCTCGAACTCATGACCCTGAGATCAAGAGTTACATGCTTTTCCGACTGAGCCAGCAAAGTGCCCCCCTGAAGGGATTTCTAACTGATCTGCCAGCTGGATTACCTGTCTCTGCTCCGTCTCTAGGAATCCTGGGCAGCAGACTAATGCTCCACCCGTTCCTACTCCCTCTTGTTCAATTGTAGGCTTACTTCAAACTGCTTCCAGCTCTTTTTATGCTCATTGGTGTTGTGATATTCATGTGTAATTTAATCAACTATTAACAAACCCATGCAATATGAATGCAGAGAAAAGACATTTCATTTCTACGAAAACTCATTTGCATGTTTGCAGATTTCAGTAAAGGTGAGTTGCTAAAAGAATTGTTGATGAGCAAGCTGAGATCAAAATCAATGAAAGAATCACAAAGTCCTTAAGAGCCTTTCATACAAATTACTGGTATCTTTAAGGAGGTTTTTTCTCCATCAAAAAGAGGAAGAAAGGAAAGAAGGGAGGGAGAAAGGGGAAGAGTAAGGGAGGGAGGAAGGGGAAGAAGAACAATAAATGAGGCATTTTGGATGTCACTTAAGTGAGGAAGAATCTGGAATTATAATAACTTTCTTCTCTGCCACAAGACTGGCAAATGATTACACAGTTATATTTCATAAATTGAAATATTTACAGTATGTTTTTCAGTGCTTCTCTTTGTGAACTGACATTTTTGATTAACTGATCAAAAAGCCAGCCCTTCGCCATATCCAGTAAGAAGGATTCTGTGGTACAGTGCATACATTACACACACGCGCACACACACACACACACCCCATGTGCACATATACGCACGTGTATATATGCATGCATGTATGTAGGAACACACCAAAATGATAGTGAACCTCTCGGAGTGGTTGACATATAGGTGCTTTTTGGACGTCCCTAACTTTTCCAAATTCTCTACATTGAGCATGTGTACAGTCACATTCAGAAACGCTTGTATTTTAAAATCCGATTTTCAAGAAAACAACCGCTCATTTTTTATATTTTGATACATTTAGGTTGTGTACGTTGGAGGAGAACACTCTGGGTTTCTTGTATGCCTGTCATGCCCTAGACCTTGGGTTGAGCTTATCCTGCAAGGTAATCCACTAAAGAGGCCAATTCGTTTAGAAACCAGTATAATACTACCCCTGGCAAGCAATGAAACTTGAACTTTGGCTCGGTTTTCGTAAGCATTCCTATGATGTTATACAGCATTGTATTTGAATTTGAATTTGGTTCTGGGTTTTCACAGTTGGTTTATTTTTTTCTCTCGGCACATTATTGGCTTTGTTTATGATAATATTATCCGTGTTTAAAGTCCATAAGTTGATTATGTAGTATTTTGTTTTATCAGAAAGAATGCCATCGTGTTCCTATCCAGGACGGATAGCGTAACTTACTTTTGCTGTGCACATGCGTGTGGCAAACCAGGCTCCGCCTAGTCTTTTAATTAGTTATACCGTCAATAATTAGGGTCACGAGTCCTGCTTTCCTCTTAAGATTTCCCTTCTCTGGCCCCTGCCCTACAAAGCACTTACCCCCATGTTTTCCCCAGAGCACTTACCACCAGCTGACACCATATACTTATTTGTGTATTTATTTCCTGCTTCTTCCCTGGAAACAGGAAACCCTGGAAGATCTAGGCTTTGTCTTGTTTCCTGCAGCCTCACTGGCTCCTAGAATGTGCCGGGCATACAAATAAATCCTTATTAAATAAATCCTTAATAAATCCTGGTTAAATAAATGAATTTTCAGGAGAAAGCATGGTGTATAAAGCTTACTAGCACCAATACAGTGACTCACTTTATTTGTAAAGGAAATGTGAATATTATTTACAGTTGTGTGTATTAAGACAAGAAATCTGATAATAGATGTGGCCCTAAATACATTCATGTCTTCCCATCCGAATGTACTCTATTTCTTAATGGCAAAGGAACAGAAAGAAATTGAATGAATACCAACCTCTGACCTCCTTGCAAAAAAGTTGCTAGAGGCATTTCTTCAAGTGAATTTGGTCATCTTAACCTTTTAAAAATAAAAACCTTTTAAAAAAATATACACTCCTGGGGCGCCTGGGTGGCTCAGTCAGTTGAGTGTCCGACTTCGGCCCAGGTCATGATCTCACGGTTCGGGAGTTCGAGCCCCACGTTGCGCTCTCTGCTGATGGCTCAGAGCCTGGAGCCTGCTTCGGATTCTGTCTCCCTCTCTCTTTGCCCCTCCATCGCTCACGCTGTCTCTCTCACTCTCAAAAATAAATAAACATTACAAAATTTAAAAATACATACTCCTCTTGTTAATCATCCTATGTCTGTAGGCATGTTCCTTCCGTTGCTCTTTTAGCTTTAGTCTGGGAGGTATCCTGTCTGTTGACATGATTTTTACAATACCCTTCTCCCCCCTTGTGCTTATATTTCATCAGCCTAACAGCCCTGACCCCATTCTGTTGTCACACCTGCATGTCTCCCATGCTGTTCCACGACCACCTTGTGTTTAGACACTTGCTCTGTCTTCTCTCGGGCAGGCACACGAAAAGTTGCTGACTGTAAAGATGATGGGGGCCAACCATCCTGTACCTTCTGCAAAGAGGGGAGGGACTACACAGACAAGGACCATTTTTCTCCCAGATGCAGAAGATGTAGAATTTGTGATGGAGAGCACGGTAGGTGCCTTAAAAAGCAATCAAAGAAGACCAATCATGGGGCTCCATGGAGAACCATGCATAATCCAATTTGAAATTGGGGCCTCCTCTGGTACTAGGTTGGCTTACAGACAGGGGCCGGATGGAGCTGGCTTGGGGTGAGGCAGGACTAGGTACCAAGCTAATCACCTGTCTGCACATTTGTGCATCAAATCTAGGCAGTTCTCCCAGAATAACTAAATATGAACCTGGAGAACAAGCATCATCAGCTACAATCAAAACTGCATAGATTTTCCCCTGCCTTGATGTATGCTCTTGTAATGGCCCTCAAGAGTTCAGAAACCTTCTGAGAGAAGGACAGAAGAAACCAAGCGGTGCATGGGATGCTCCCCCTTCTCTGAGGATTGATTTTGTCTCGATCATTCCAACCGGGGACCTGAATTTTTACGGGTGTCCCATCTATTGTGAGAGCCCAGATTCAAATATAACAAACACTCCCAGTTTCCTTGGATATCAAGAAATCTCTGGACAGAACGCTTTTCTGTCACCATGCAGGCTCTAAAGCAATGTCTCTCAAAGGGGGCTTACGTTAGGGTCACCCAGGGAGCTATGAATCACTATCTATGTTACAAAAGGTGTGCCAGTTTCAGCGGTAGATCTCAAAACTTCTTGTGGCCCCTGCTCACCATTTGCATGGTCCCCTTATAACCAGCTGCTCTAATTAATAGCGTGAAAATTGGTTTTCTAGGCTTAGAAGTGGAAAAGGACTGTACTCAGACCCAGAATACCAAGTGCAGATGTAAACCAAACTTTTTTTGTAACGTCTCTCTGTGTGAACACTGTAATCCGTGCATCACGTAAGTTTTCGTCTTTCTTTGACCAAAATGCTAGAGATCTACCTCGACAGACCCTGTCTTCCTAGGGGGAAACAACACCGGCTGAGAGTCGAGAATTTGGGTTCCAGTCTTACTTTGTCTATTCGTTCACTCAAACATCCAGTCTCCGAATGTTGATTGAACATCTCCGTGCTTGATAGTGTGCGTGCTGTGTACGCTAACAAGTGTTATGAGCAAGCCACATCCCTGGCATCAGACGTCTGAGGCAAGAGGCAGAGAGAGTCAAGAAAGCAATGGTTATGGGGCAACACCACGTGTCAAACAGCAGAAGAGTCCTGTGCCCAGGGTGTTATGAGTTCTGCACGAGCACCTTTCAGCTCTGCCTGGGGGTGGGGCGCACAAAGATATGACACGTGGCCAGAGCCTTGAAAGAGGAAAGAGAACATTCCCAGGAGTGCACCGAGGGGTAGGACATCTCAAGCAGGGGACAACATCTGCAGAGAGATAAGCGGACACCCCAGAGAGCAGAGTCGCTGGCTGGAGTGTGGTGAAGAGGAGCCAGGGCCAGATCACAAAGGGTCTTGTCTTTCATGCTAGAGATCTTAGTTTGGACCCAGCGGTAGAAAACCTGATGGTGCATCTCACTGTTCTTCTGATCAGTTGGGTGACTTCGAGCAAAGTCAGCTAGCCTCCCTGACCTCCAGTTCCCTCACTCAGAGGACGCAAATGATACTCACGTCTCCCCTCAGCCTCGTTGCTGTGAGGGTCAGGGTGGGTAGTATGTGTTGTAAACCAGCTTTTGTTTTGTAAGTTATTGTTCTGTACAAATAGAAACCTTTAGCATTATGTTCCCGTGCCTGGCCTTAAACTTGTATTTCACCTTGGGAAACGTTGGCTTGAAAAGTAGGGATGTGATGCCTTATGTTGCTTACTTACTAGAAAATTTTAAATTATGGGCAGTTAACCTAGCCCTGCTTCTAGCCCCATGTGTCTGAGAGTGCCTCATGGTGACAGGCGAGGAAGGGATTAATGTACAAAAATAAGAAGAATAATAGTGTGGGTCCACTTATGCGTGGGTTTCTTTCAAGAAGTGTAGTGTAGCATTATAAGTGTATATTCTCTTCCTTATGATTTTTAAATACCACTTTCTTTTCTCTAGCTCACTTTATTGTGGGAATACAGTGTAGAGGTCACCTGGGTGGCTCACTCATTAAGTATCTGACTTCGGCTCAGGTCATGATCTCATGGTTCATGAGTTTGAGTCCCACATTAGGTGAGCTCCAGCCCCTCTTCGGGTGAGCCCTACTTCTCTCTCCCTCTCTCTGTTTCTCTCTCTGCCCCTCCTGGGATTCTCTCTCTCTCTCTGCCCCTCATTCACTTGCACCCTCTCTCTCTCAAAAAACAAAAAAAAAGAATACAGTATAGAATGCATACAGTATACAAAATATGTATTTTTAAGTTTATTTATTTATACGTTTACTTATTTATTTGAGAGAGATAGGTAAGAGTGTGAGCAGGGGAGGGGCAGAGAGAGACAGGGAGAGAGAGAATCCCAAGTAGGCTCTGCGCTGTCAGCACAGAGCCCCATGTGGGTCTTGACCTCACAATCATGAGATCATGACCTGAGCAGAAACAAAGAGTCGGATGCTTAACCCACTGAGCCACCCAGGCACCCCCGTATGCAAAATATGTTAATCCACTGTTTATGTTATCAGTAAGGCTTCCGGTCAATGCTAGGCTATTTAGTAATTAAGTTTTAGGGGAGTCACAAGCTGTATGCAGATTTTCAAAAGTGCAGTGTCGGGGGTGGGGCATGGTCAGTGCCCCTAATCCCCACATCCTTGAGGGTCAGCTGTAATAATAGTGCTAAGTACCTCATCATCTCCATTCAGTTCTCCTGTCAGCATCACGGTCAGATGCCGACGTTCCCTCTGCTATCGATGAGAAAGCAGGCTTATCGTGCTTCAGTGACTGATCCCAGCTCCATTAGGTAGGGAATAGGCTGACCGGGTGTCATTCAGGCAATGTGACCATCAGACTGGCAGGGTGCGGCTGTCTGAAGAAAACCCCAAGGATTTTCCTCGGGAGCGTCCTAATCACCACGTGGTCCCCTGACATGTCTGCTGGCCAGCTGGGTGGCAGTTCTAAGTATCCTGGGCAGTGCCTGTCGCCTGGTCACTTGATTGTTCAGTGGGACTGTTTTGAAATAGTTTTTGGCAGTTGATGATTTTAAGATCGGTGTCCTACCAGTTTTAAGATCTTTGTCTATTTCATCCTTTTTCCTGTTTGTCAATATTTTATTACCCTCCTTTAACTCTTGGCATTTTAAAGATTTTTTTTAATTTTTAAGTAATCCCTACACTCACTGTGGGGTTCAAACCTGCGACCCCAGGGTCAAGAGTCTCATGCTCCACCTACTGCGCCAGCCAGGTGCCCCAAACTTTTGTCTTTTATTCTTTTCCCTAATGTTTATTTATTTTTGAAAGGCAGCGACAGAGCACTAGTGGGGGAGGAGCAGAGAGAGAGGGAGACACAGAATCGAAGCAGCTCCAGGCTCCAAGCTGTCAGCACAGAGCCCGACGCAGGGCTCAAACTCATGAAGCCGAAAGATCATGACCTGAGCTGAAGTCGGATGCTTAACTGACTGAGCCACCCAGGTCCCCTCAACCCTTTGTCTTTTAAAACATAGTGACTCGGTAGGATATTTCTCACCCAAACATCCAAATTATGTTAGGAATTTGTGCCAGTGTTGGATGCGAATCTAGCAACATTTGAGGGAATATGTTTGTCAGAGATGCAGAGATAAATAAAATGGCCCTGGGTTGATAGTGGGTCGTTGCAGATGATCAAGCAGTCCACCAGGCCTTTTGAACTTCCTCTGTATTCTTTGCCTTTTAGGTGTGAACATGGAATCCTTGAGAATTGCAGCCCAACCAGCAACACCAAATGTAAACAAGGTCACTGTTTCTTTTTATGACTATATTCTCTTTTCTCTTGTCCCCACTGTAGATTCCGACGAAAAGCCAATCCCTTCTGATTCTTTGAGAGTACTGTGTTTAATCTTTTTTTTATGTAAAAAAAATTTTTTTTTAATATTTTTTATTTATTTCTAGGAGAGAGAGAGAGAGAGAGACAGCGTGAGCAGGGGAGGGTCAGAGAGAGAGGGAGACACAGACTCTGAAATAGGCTCCAGGCTCTGAGCTGGCAGTCAGCACAGAGCCTGACGCGGGGCTCGAACCCACGAACCGCGAGATCATGACCTAAGCGAAAGTCGGACGCTTAACCGACTAAGCCACCCGGGCGCCCCTTATGTAAAAATTTTTTAACGTTTATTCATTTTTGAGAGACAGAACACGAGTGGGGGAGGGGCAGAGAGAGAGAAAGAGACACAGAATCCGAAGCAGGCTCCAGGCTCTGAGCTCTGAGCTGTCAGCACAGAGCCCGACGTGGGGCTCGAACTCACAAACCGTGAGATCATGACCTGAGCCGGAGTCGGACGCCTAACCGACTGAGCCACCCAGGTGCCCCAGTGTTTAACCTTAAAGATTACTTCTTTTCACATTCAGTGCTCCATGTTTCTGCCTACAGGATCCAGCTCCAAGTATCTGTGGTTTTGTGTCCTAATCCCGATTCTACTGTCTGCACTACTAGCATGTTGGTGTAAGTTCTTACTTTGTTCAAACTGCAGATTGATATAACTTGGGAAATAGTAATCCACAAGAATCCCCCTCTGTCTCCTACCCATAGGAAAGCTCCTGCCAGGTACGTAGCTCTGCTGTATTGTTAAATTCCTACCACTAAATGTACCCCCCGAGACCTGATAAGCATGAGGGATAACGCCATCCCTCAGCTACTGTTTTTGAGCAATTATTCTGGAGCCCCAGATGGATATTCCCATCCTCCCTGTGAATAAGGATGTTTTCATCTGGGCAGCAGCTGAGTTGGCCAAGAATCAGAAGTAATCCTTTATTGCTCATTGAGATGGTCCCTTGCATTAAGAGAGAAGGAAGTAAGGATCTTCTTGGGCAAGCCTTCAGGGAACACTTGATAAATTCATCCGCTCTATGCCTCCTCTCCCTTTTTCAAACTCCATGTGTTTTTCTGTTAATTTTTTATTCCTCCACCTTAATTTAAAACACTGTGGCAATATCATTTTAGCAGGGGTTACTGAGAAAGTCAGCAGGTAAACCCCAAGTGGGTATATTTGTAATCACCACAAGAAAATCGCTGATAAAGGCATAGAGTGGCGTTAAGTTTTATTTTTTTTATAGTTTACTTATTTTTGAGACAGAAACAGAGCATGAGTCGGGGAGGAGTAGAGAGAGAGGGAGACACAGAACCTGAAACAGGCTCCAGTCTCTGAGCTGTCAGCACAGAGCCCGACGCGGGGCTCAGATCCACGAACCATGAGATCATGACCTGAGCCGAAGTCAGACACTTGACCGGCTGAGCCACCCAGGCACCCCGCATCAAGTTTTAATGACTCTAAAGCTTCTGATTTTTCCTTCCCCACGGGAACCAATCACTGTTTCTCCAGCTCAGGGGGAGATGAAGAGGTTGTTTTGCCTTTGGAGACTAAATAGACACTAGTTGTGCTTGGAGACGTGTCCACTCCTCTTTTTCATTTCACACTGACATGAAGGCACACAGCAAATGAGTGTATCTACTTGAGCTATTTGTGCGTGTATGTACTTGAACCACTAGGCATGAAATGTCACCTCATGGCAAGCTCATGCTAACTTTCCATGTCCCGTGGCTTCTGTGTTCTGCTGTTGACACACCACCCAGCTCCAAGCTGGTGAAAGAGGGTAGTGGGGACCACATGATACGTCAGAAGCTGGCTTCAGGCTGGGCCAGTGTGTGATAAATGGATGCCCCAATTAAAATGTGATGTACCTCTAGAACATTCGACCTGGATTGGGGGGGTGGGGGTGGGAGGGAAGTGTGAATTTCCAGAATCAGAACAGTGCTGCCTCTTGGGTATTGGTCACGTTAAGTTGCAGTGAATTTCTCCCTCCTTCTCATACTTCTCTTAGTGTAAGAGTATATTCTCACAGGCTTCCTGCAAGCCTGAGACTTGAGTCTGATAGACATTTCTTTGATCTTTCAGATGTGATCAAACAGCGCAGGAATAAAAAGAATGACGGCTGTGGACCTAGAGTGTCACCTATTGTAGGTGTTGAAACATGCATCCACTTCCTTAAGAAAATAGAGAAAGTAGTAACTCAGCTTTTTATTTGTTCCTTTTTAAAAACAAAGTGTGTGTGTGTGTGTGCGCGCGCACGCACATGGGTTAGAGGGGCATCAAAAATGTAGCAAGGGGCACCTGGGTGGCTCAGTCGGTTAAGCCTCTGGCTCTTGATTTCACCTCAGGTCAAAATCTCCTGGTTGGTGGGATCCAGCCCTGCGTCGGGCCCCACCCACATTGAGTGTGGAGCCTGCTTGGGATTTTGCCCCCCCCACCCCCCCCCGCCTTGTTTTCTCTGCACCTCCCCCACTCTCTCTATCTCTCTCTCAAAATAATAATCTTTAAAAAAGAAATGAACTAAGATATGGTGCCCAGTTTACAAGAAGCTTCTACACAAATAACACAAGAATTGACAAGAGTGTGAGAGTGTGGTCAGTGTGCACTGGAGAGAAGTGTGGCCAAGCTTGTGTGTTCTGTGTTGGGATTATCCCTGCAGACAGACTGCACACAGACATTCTTTACCAGAGCAGGGACTCATTATCCGGGTCCCAGGCACACAGAAAGCTCTTAAAGCCTGTCACAAAGGCACAACTCAGTTCTCTCAGCCACCTGTTACCTTATCTCTCACTGTATCTTTTAGCAATTGTGGGGTCAAAGCATTTCAAATAGCAAAAGATACACTGGGGAGAGAAACAATTCACTTAATGAATGATGATTTCCATTTGGGGCCAGGGCTCGGTTGGGAGTCAGGGTTCATTAAATAATTGCCGCTTAAACCATTTTCTCATGTCAAAAAGAATAGTAACTGTAAAGAAAGCCATAGAATAGTAGAGTTTATTATGTCTACTTTCATGCATCTATATGAAAAATAATCTCAGCACATTCCATGAATCCTTCGGTTCCTTGCCTCTGTAAAAAGCAAGCTAATGTTCCTTAGTTTCTGGCAAGGCTGAGACCTTGCAGAATAAAGCTTTGGGCGCCAAAAGAATCCTTCTTAATCACGTAGTCTAGCTAATTTTATACCTCAAGCGACTGGTTGTACTTCCTTCCACAGTTACATTTAGAATATTATAAACATATTTTTATTTATCGTGCTCCTTCCCTCCATTTTTTTTGTCTCCTCAGGAAAGTATGCCGATGATTTGCAGAGGTAAGGCTTCTATCTTTTCATTTCATGGAGGTGGCTTCCTTAGGAGTTTACAGGCCAATTTCAGTGACATATCGTGAGGTCTTACTCTTCCTTAAACACAATTCTTTCTGCTCACCATCAAGAGTTTATCCAACAGTGTGTTTGAATGTATAACTAATTCTCACAGTTAAAACTAAATCAGATAGCAGGAAGACAGCATATTCTGAGGCTTAAGAGAATTTTCCTCCATAAACTGGTGTGTTCTAGAACTCTTGCTTATACTGACTTAGGGGCCAAATGAGCTGAATTGTAGACTCGGTTATTAGTGGTGTATTTCTGGTTCTGTAATAATGTTCGTGATTCTGTTCAGTCCTGCTCCCTGGCCTGTGGCTCAGAGAAACGATCATGAAGTCTTTGCCTGCCATTGAGGATGGTGGGTTATCGATCATCCGATCCATAGGGAAACGTTAGAGGTGATCTTTCCCAACGCTCTTATTCCAGAGCTGAGAAAAGAAGATGTACTGAGATGTTATGTGGCTTGCCTGGGTCATAGAACAAATTACTGGGGACACAGGAGGGGGTGGGTTTTGTCCCCCCCCCCCCCAACCAGCTCTCTTGATCTCTAGGACTTAACCAGTATCCTTAATATCATTGTAGGAGAAGTAGGCATGGTGTTTTATGATGAGCATTTCATTTAGAAAGACAAATGTTTAGAGACTGTTCTCTATTTTCCAGACACCGATTTGAGTAATTACATCAGCAGCATTGCCGAACAGATGACAATAACTCAAGTCAAAGAATTCGTTCGGAAGAACGGTATCAACGAGGCGAAAATAGATGAGATCAAGAATGACCACCTCCAAGACACCGCTGAACAGAAAGTACAGCTGCTCCGTAATTGGTACCAGCTCCACGGGAGGAAGGGAGCATGTTACACCTTAATTACAGGTCTCCAAAAAGCCAATCTCTGTACTCTTGCGGAGAAAATTCAAGAGATGGTCCAGCAGGACATTCCTGGCTAACTTGAGTGTGGAAACTGTAAACGTGAAAATGAAAGACAAAGCCTGGCTGAATGTGAATGTATATATTAAGCCACAGAAAGCAAAATTAGTGTTAGAATGAGTTCTTAATCGCTGTAGACTATCAACATCGCTTGGGTTTTTATAGGGTGTGTTTTCTTTTTCATTTGTTAGATGTTAGAGCTAATATATTTATAGGTTTGGAGGGTCTCATGATTCTGACTTGAAGGATGTTGGGAAGACAGACCTAGTTAAAAGTAAATACAATGGCATGTTGAGTGTACAAGTGTGTGTACACAGGAGAAAAGATTGGGAGCACACTTGAGTGTCTAAACTGGAGTTAGAGGGTGTATGCATGAATAGAATCCTGGTGTTGCCTTTTTCTTTTCTTGTTGAAATGTTTCATGCATCGTTGCTATTTGTTCAGATGGGGAGGGAGTGGCCCTCCAGAAGTAAACTTACAATTCTTTATTAATGATAAGGCCCCAGTTTTGTCACTAGATGACCAGAAAGAATATTTTATTTTGTTTTACAGTTTTTTTAATATACTTTTTAAGTTTATTTACTTATTTTTGAGAAAGAGAGAGAGAGGAGCAGAGAGACAGAGGGAGAGAATCCCAAGCAGTCTGTGCACTGTCAGTGCAGAGCCCAATGTGGGGCTCAAACTCCTGAACTGGTGAGACCATGACCTGAGCCGAAATAAAAAACTCAGATGCTTAACTGACTGAGCCACCCTGGTGCCGCTATTTTTTTTTAAGTTTATTTATTTTAAGAATGAGAGTGTGTGTGCAGGGGATGGACAGAGAGAGACAGAGAGAATCCCTAAAACCCAGCCTGAGGTGGGGCTCGAACTCAGGGCCGTGAGATCATGACCTGAGTCTGAAATCAAGTCAGATGCCTAACCCACTGAGCCACTCAGGTGGCCCTACAATGCCCTTCAGGTGGCTGTTTGTCTCTCCGTTGCTAGGCCACAAGGCACCTGAGGGCAGAAATCATGATTGACACAGAGCAGGTATTCACACGATCGACATTTTTTCACTGAATCAGTTAACGAAGGAATAAAGTTATGTCCAGTCATTCGTGTTGGTTCCGCCAGTTTGTGACTGCCTTTTGGGAGGAAAGTCACGATGAGTGACTGATCACTCGCTCTATAGGGAGGCTGACCTTTCTTCTTAAAGAATGATCTTGTCATGAAATCATCAAACCATCCAAGGCCCTTCAAGAAGCTTCCCTCCCTCTGTGTCGTCCCAGCCTCCTCCTCTTCCATTGAGTCAGTGCCCAGCACCTTGCTTCTCACAGCACCACACAGTCAGAATGCTGCCCTTGACTGCCCGCACCCTGCCCTCTGCCCAGCCTCCAAGAAACATCTCGCCGAACTCCCCCCACCGACCCCGTCTGCAAAGGTCCAGGGAAGGCACGTGCTCCCACAGGGGGCTGTCACCAACTCCTGAAAGCCTCGAATCTCCTGAAGGCATCGTGTGATGCTGTTCAGACCTCCCCTGTGGGCCCAGAACACGCCCTGTGCTATTTGACTTGTCCCGAATATGTATGTATCTGAAAGGTCCTTCGGGGCAGGAAACGGGCTATAAAGAAGGGATTGCAAGGGCTGGCTCTGAAGACAGTGTGTTTGGACTCTGTTGTTCCTATATTTGGACCCGGCCACCTTGGACACATCAGTTACCCTCTCTAGGCCTCGGTTCCCTCACCTCTAGGAGAAGAATAATACTATCTACCGTGCAGCGTTGCTCTGAGGGTCAGTGGGATATTCCACCTGGAGCGCATGGAATGGTGTCTGGCACATGAAGTGCTAAACATCGCTCTCCCTTAATTACATCACCTCCAGGGTGGCTTGAGGAGGCTTGAGGAGACCGCATAAAAGTCTGGTGATGTTGGGCTATGCATCGGCGTCACACACCCCCTAGGACTTGGCTGCCAGCCACAGGATTCCTGTGGCCACTGCTTTAGAGAGAAAATCCCAGCGTCTGTAGGAGAAGTGGCCACTAGGCAGCAGTCAAAGCACATGACCAGTGCAGCGGTCACAGGTGAAAGCATGAACTTTTATCCCTTCCGCCTCCTTTCCATGATGACGCCACAAGTATGCAGAAAAGCAGAGCCTTCTAGCCACCATCCTAGCCACCCAGCGAATGACACTCCAGTGGGAGAAGCAACCAAGTATTTCTTTTCCTTTGCCTGCTGCCCACTGCCCTGAGTGCACAGCGTCCACTCTGCATGTCAGGGACTTTAGATCCGAAACCTGGCGCCCAGGGCCCCCTGTACCTGCTCCCAGCCCAGCCCATGACATCTGAAAGTCTCCCCGTCAAAGCTAACAAACCCAGCACCTGATGTAATGACTGCCCTCCTGGGTACCTAGGGATTTCTCTTTTCCTTCTTTGAAGGTCAAAGCCACCCTCTTTTGAGGCACTGATGAAGACCATGTGTCCAGTGACGCCCTCCCTGGGGCCTCAGGCAGAAGACTGCCTTTCTGGCTCTGACATTCTCAAAGCCTGGGCCCCATCTGCTTCTCATGGCTAATATGCTTTTGTAGAGGGGATTAGAGATGATTGTGCAAAGTATCTAGAACAGCATTGGCTCACTCCAATATGGAATCCATTTTTACAATTCTTACTCTCACTGGGGCACCTGGGTGGCTCAGTCAGTTAAGCACCTGATATATTTATTATTTATTTTTGAGAGAAAGAGAGACAGAGTGCAAGCAGGGGAGGGACGAAAGAGAGGGAGACACAGAGTCCAAAGCAGGCTCCAGGCTCTGAGCTGTCAGCACAGAGCCTGACGTGGGGCTCGAACCCACAGCCCATGAGATCATGACCTGAGCCGAAGTCAGACGCTTAACTGACTGAGCCATCCAGGCGCCCCAAGCATCTGACTCTTGATTTTGGCTCAGGTTATCATCTTGCGGTTCATGTGTTTGAGCCCTGAGTCAGGCTCTGCACTGACAGCACAGAACCTGCTTGGGATTCTCTCTCCTCTCTCTGCCTCTTCCCTTGCTCTCACTCACTCTCTCAAAATAAATAAACTTTTTTTTAAAAACTTAAAAAAAGCAGTTATCACTCACATCAAAATTAATGCAAAGCTTATCACCATAAAGTCAGGAAGTCAGGAGTTGTGTCTGACTAATCTCCCACATAAAAGCATTTAAGAAAAGTTTGCCATTCAAATGACCACATAAACTAGTGAGCCAGTCAACCTCTTAATTCATCCCTCAAGTAACAAAGGAGAGCAAATGACTCCTCGTGGGGTTTTTTCCTTGTACTTATGATTCTGAAGTACAAGTTAGTAAATGCATTCATTGCCCGCCCCCCAATTTTGAAGTCAACATAAGTCACATAGAAAATTCAAGTAATCTAGGAAAGTTTAAGGAAGAAAGTGCATGTTAATCAGATCTCCCTGACCAAGGATAACCACTCTTAAGAATCTATGCACCCACAGAGTTAAATAAAAATGATCTATCTACCATAGATGCTTATAACCTGGTTTTCACTCAACAATAGGTCATGGGTGCTTTTCCATGTTAATAAATATAAATAATATTTTTAATATTTTTTAAAAGTATAATGTATGTCTGGGGTACACAGTATTCTACCCCTCTGAGGTAGCGTGCTTTATTAAAATAAAAGTGTTATCATTCATTTTCCTAAACTATAAGTGTTGTGTAGGAATGTTGAAGACATTTCACCACTATGGACATTAGTACTTCAATTCTTACTTAACCTTGAACTAAAGACTTGACGGGGAAGTGCGAGGAGACAGTGACCCAGCACTTGGGCACTGCTGAGGCGGCAAGCCCAGAGGTGAACAGATTGTCTCTAAGAATCGGAGGAATAAGAGACCCTAGACAAAGACGGAAGGAGAGCAGCTGGGAGCAGCTGGGGCTGGAAATGGTCATCTCCAAGTAGACACACTTGGGTCCGCCCTGCCAAGGTTTGGGTCTCTCAAACTCTCAACCCCCAATGCGAGCCTCAGCCAAGTTCAAAGATGCAGGGTCTGGAGCTGCCTCAGGTAGAACGAGATTATTTCCATACCACTCAATGCTGGCCAACCAGCTAATGAGGAAGTCATAAGAAAGAGGCAAATAGAGAGAGGGCAAGATGGCAGAGAAGTAAGGAGCTCCGTACTTGCACTCGCGCCCATACATCACACAGAAAAGATCTGAAGCCATTGGAAACCTTACAAAACCTGAGAGATTGGGAGAAAAAAGACACAGAATCCACTGAGAGAGCCTTCTAACCGGGCTCGGGCTCAGAACACCCTGCGGGCAAGCCCCCCCCCTGCGCGCCAGCCTGACCCAGAGAAGGAAGCAGCGATTCTGACTCCGCCCCCAGAGCTCGGCAGGGGGCCTGGAATTGCCCGAGGGGGTTGCCTGGGAAGCTGTGTCTAAGGCAACTTCAGCGGGGCGCGCGGACGGGGATTTGGAGATTGGAACTGGCCTGGGTTGAAGAGTGCAACCAACTTCGGCTGCGCCCCCGGTACGGGGAGTTTACACGCCCAAAA